TACGTGAGATTGTTAATATATTGGTTGGAGTTATGAAGAGAAATTATTACCCATGGATAACCGTGAATACCCGAAACCCGAACGGGTATGGGCATGGTTTTGATTTTCTACCCGTTTCACATGTGGGTATGGGTATGGACCCGAACTACTTTGGGTAGGGTAACGGATATGCACTATCCGCCCCCGACCCGACCCATTGCCATACCTAGGATCTACAAGGACCCAAGTTTTGGTTTTTTCTAAGGAAGCAAACTCAGAGTTGACAGCTTTCAACCATTCAGATGACTGAGCAGCCTCTTTGTAGGTTCTAGGTTCCCTGACCTGTGAAATTGCTAAAGCAAATTTCTTGTGTGAAGTACTTAGAGAGCTATAAGATAGCATGGCCTGTATTGGATACCTAGTTTTAGAGAACAAGGTTGCTTGACTAGCCAGATTACATTTATAGTCATTGTATTTAACTGGCTTAGTAACTTGTCTACTGGATCTCCTTAATGGAGGTAGATCAGCAGGAACTGAAAGATGAGAAACAGGAGCCTGATTTGATGGAATTATCTCAGGACCTGAATGAGACATAGATGGTGAAGTATGAATAACAGGTTGAGACTCAGTGATGAACTCAGTGTGAGCCTTTTCAAACTCTAAATCAGAAGAAACAGGTGGGAAGACAGGCAATGGAAATGTATGATCTGTAATCTGATTTGGATTTTGAAATGGGAAGATTGTTTCATGAAATGAAACATCTATGGAAATGAGAATATTATGAGTTTTTAGGCTGTATAACCTAAAACCTTTTGTTCCATGGGGATGACCAAGGAAAATACATGGTTGAGCTCTAGGATCAAGTTTATGTCGAGTTGCCTGAATAGTAGCTGCATAAGTGAGGCAGCCAAAGACTCTGAGATGAGCTAAACTTGGTGGCTCACCATGTAACTTTTCATATGGAGTAAGATTCTGAATAAGAGTAGAAGGAGTTCTGTTTATAAGATGGACTGCATGCATTGCAGCAAAATTCCAGAACTGAGCAGGTAAAGAAGCCTGAAAAAGTAAAGCACGAGTAACAGCCAAGATGTTCTGATGTTTTCTCTCGACTATACCATTTTGTTGAGAGGTATAGATACAAGTGGTTTGGTGAATGACACCTTTGGAAGAATAGAAGTCTGGAATGTGGAATTCAAGACCATTATCAGTACGAATTGCTTTTATTTTAGCCTTAAACTGTGTTTCTATGAATGCAAAGAAATTAATAAGTGTTGGTCGAGCTTCAGATTTATGTTTCATAGTGAAAATCCATGTATGACGAGAGTAATCGTCTACAATGGTTAGGAAATAAGCATGGCCTTGAAAAGACAGAGCAGGAGCATTACCCCATATATCCACATGGATGAGATCAAAAGGAGCAGAGGTTTTACTTGTACTATTAGCAAAAGGAAGACGTTTTTGCTTGGCCATAGGGCAGACAGTACAATGGAAACCAGATGGTGAAGAAATGGTACTGTCAATGGATCGAAATTGAGAAAGTTTACAGTGGGGCACATGGCCAAGGCGATAATGCCAGATATCTATACTAGGCTGAGAAGAAGAATATGCAATTCTGGAAGGATAGACAGGTTTTGTGTTGAGCTGGAGATTATGTTGTAGCTGTTTGGTCTGAGATGGAAGATGAAGAAGGTAAAGACCATCGACCAAACTAGCTGTTCCAATCATTGTCAAACTGGGGTAAGCCTGTATGAAGCACAATGAATAGTGAAACCATAAGCAGATTGTTGTACTTCTGACTAGTTTGCTCACAGAAACCAGATTGAAACTAAAGGATGGAACTAGCAAAACATCAGTCAAAGTAAGATGTTCTGAGTATTGGACAACCCCTATGGCAGTCACAGCTACTTTACTACCATTAGGCATATGAACAAACACATCAGAAACAGGTTGAGATTGTAAAAAATGAGCAGGAGAACAGATGATATGATCTGTTGCTCCTGTATCCAATATCCATTTGTTCTGGATATGGCAATTAACAGTAGAAGCATAGTGAAATGTACCTGTTGATTCAGGTACCTCAAAAGCATGAGAAGCAACCGAGTTAGCTCTGCTTACAATGTTATGCTGACCAGAACCCTCACTTTCATTGGAGACTGAATAGTGAGAAGGGTTATTAACCTTGTAAGCATCAGAAAAAGCAACTGGAGCTGGGACATAATGCTGCTGAACAGAGAACTGATTCTGTGGAGGAGGAAACTGGTTCTGAGAAGGAGCTTGGGTGCTTTGCTGAGCTTGAGGATTCATAAAGTGTAACATCTTCTGGTACTGTTGCTGAAAGCTCTGCCAATCGGCTTGATTGATCATGACAGGACCATTAGAGGAAGATGCTATATCAGTAGAAACATTATTAGCTTGCCTAGAGTTCTGCTGCCTCTTCTTGGACTGATAACCTGGTGGATAGCCGTTCTTTTTGTAGCACACATCCTCTGTATGCCCAATGTAGCCACAGAATGTGCAAACATGCTTCTTCCCTTGTTTCTTGAACCCTTGACCAGTACCCTGAACTCCTAAGTGAGACCCTGATGCCTTGGTGAAGAAGGCCATACTGTCCGAAGCAGGGTTAGGAGCAGGTTGTGGCTTAGGCAACAAACCATTCTCTCTTTCGTGTTGGACCATCATGGCAAACACTTTGTTAATGGGAGGCAATGGCTCTAAGAGCATAACTGTGGATCTAGGGCCATTAAAGTTGTCATTCAGATTGCGCAAGAATCGAATCACCTTATCATTCATGTAGTCTTTTCTCAAAGAAGCTAGAACACAATGGCAGGTAACGCCGCAATCACAGTCAGGAATGAAACGATAGTTGGCTAGCTGATCCCACAAAGCTCTTTGCTTAGAATAGTACTGAGAGACGCTCATTGTACCTTGTTTGAGGTTGAAGATAGCCTCCTGTAGATCAGCAATACGGAAAGAATCACCCTGTGAAAACTGCTCACGAAGCTCAGTCCAAGCACCAATGGCGCTGGTGACGTACAAGATGCTTTCAGCGATGGTTGGATTGACCGAGCGCTGAATCCAGCTGAGGAGTAACTTGTTGTTCCGATTCCAAGGCTCGAGCAAGGGAGAACCGTCGACTGGCTGCGGGATTTTTAACTTGTTCTTGCCATCGATCACCAGTATCATCGATCTTTCCCAGCTAGAGAAGTTGTTCTCATTGAGCGGCTGGGAAACGAGGCATTGACCCCAATTCTCCGATGGATGGATGAAGAATGGCGACGCCGGATCGGAAATCGGGATGCCATTGTAAAGAATCACGCCGGAATTGTTCTGGCGACCTCCAGTGTGAGGATTTGGATTCGCGGCATCGTCGCCGAAAGAGAAAGTCTCGTGAATCGCCATAGGAGGACGATGAACTCAAGAACAGAAGAATGGGGAAGCAAAAGGAGAAGATGCGAAAGCGAGAGAGAGAGACGAAGATCGGCTCAGTAGCGCTCTGATACCATGTCAGATTTCTGATTAATTCCTCTTTTCTTGATTGAAAGAATGAAAAACAATCTTACATTGTTCAGCCAGAGTAGCTGACTTTTATACTATTCCTACAAAGCAGACGAATTAGTTACAAGTCTCTAACTAACCTAGCTAAATTACACAATGGTACCTAACCTATTTACATTCTATCTACATAAGTTTATACCTATTACAAATTGATACATACTATCTCTAATATGGCTTGCACTTAAGGTTTCGTCATCATAGGTAAGGATTAAGGAATAGAGAGTAGGAATCATCGGCGAAAGCGGCCGCGGAGATCCATTTTCTAACAACCAGAGTCAGGGGATTGTTGTGCTGGACATCCCTTTCTCGCCTCCGACGATCTCCTCCGTGGCGGAATTTATGGATTCCGCCACATGGTTTCGTCGGTGGTGTCGAATTTGACGGACCCATTTGAGGAATACTCGAGGGGTAATTGCACAGGGTGCCACTTAAGTTTATCATTTGTTGCACGATAACCACTTAAGTATGTTTTGTTGCAACTAAACCACTTATATCCAATTTCGGTAGCATTGTTACCATTTCCGTCTCCATGACTAACGGCGGGTGTTAAAACGTAAATTACCACGCCAACTCAGCCGCCATGTCAGCTGCAGACTCACCTGTGGGCCAACAAAATTCGATGGGCCCACTAAATCGAAATTTTTCTTTTACGCGGGACACTTCTCCTTGCCTTGGCAAAACCATTCTCCGCCGGCAGCCGAACCGTCAACTCCTTCCCTGTAGAAAACAAAAACTTTAGTCAAGGAGCTTATACTAGCGATCGTCGCGAAGAAGGAAGGAAAGCTTGCTGCAAAAAAAAAACAAAAATCAATGGTATTTATTCCTACCCTTCTCCTGCTGCTGATTTTGGTCTCAACCTTTTCGTGATCCCATTATGCTAGCTTTTGGTTTCTTGTGTCCATTGTTATATTGATAATAGTAGTCTTGGCACTTGTCTCTTTGCTCAATTCTAATAGTCAATTAGCACGTTTTTATTGGATTCTGTATATTATTGTGTCCATGCAGTAGTATATTGTTGGATTCTGGTTCCTCATCTAATTCTTTCCTTCTCTTTTATAGGGATTTGAAAGAAGTAACGAATATAGCTTTTTCATGGAATGATGGAGAAATAAGTGAGTGACCTGGTTTCTTTGAGTGCTTTGTTTTGGTGTTTGTTTTTCTTTTTTGCTGTTGGATGATCAATGGATGAATGCAGGGCAGTCCACTTCAAGCACCTGATCTCTTATTGTTTGATTTTAAAAAATGCGTCCAAGCATTAGGGAAGTTGGTGAAACTGACCGAATTCCTATATATGGTGAGTTTTTCAATTAACGATTGCTGTATTTTTTCATGCGCTGCCATTTTGCAGCTGCGATTTACTGCAGTAAAAGTTAACTGAACTGTTTGTGTTATGATCGTTGTAGTTTGGTTACCAATGCGTATACTGTTTTCTTTCTTTCTTTCCAGGATTTAAAGATGATAAATTCACAATCGAACTCCATTATAAGGGTGAAATTGTGCATATAAATGATGAAGACATATCCTATTTTGGAGGTGAAGTTGTATACTTGGATTGGATTGATCCAGACTGTTTGTCTTTGTTCGAGCTAGATGGTTATGTTGTCGACATCGGTCATATGGAAAGTATGAGAATGGTGGAGGAATATAGGACGACACATGGTTGGGCATATTATTGGAGTCTGCCGGGAGAAAGATTGAAAGCAGGACTGCAAGAGCTGACAAGTGATAGTGATATTCTGGACATGGCTGCCAAGATAGTTCTAGAAACCAAGTTTGTAGAGGTTTATCTGATCAATAAAGATGAGTTAAGGAAGGCTACATTAGAAGCATAGCAAGGAGAACGTCCAAGTGTGCAAAGTCTTGTTGACATGGGTGCTGAACAACAACATGAGAATGGACCTGAATATGGACACGAGACCAATGATGAGAGATTGGAGGGTGATCTGGAACTACTGGCAGCCGAGAATTATGAAGGAGAGGAGGATGTGGAGAATGAAAGCCATGATATCTATATTGACTTTACATTTGATGTCAATATTGATGATGAGTTGTATGATTCAGACAATCTGGGTAGTGTTCACTCTGATGAAGAAGAAGGTGTTCAAAATCATTCAAGATACCCAGAATTCAATCCAGAAAAAGAAATGAGTGATCCCCAATTTTGCCTACACCAAATCTTCAGGGACAAAGATACATTCAAGGATGCTATCAAAAGCTACTCCATCAACAGCAAACAACCTCTCAAATTTAAACATAGTGACAGGCATAGAGTTCAAGTTGTCTGCCAGGCAGGTTGCCCATGGAACATATGGGTAGGACTGACAGATGATGGAAAGGCTGTCCAAATCAGATCATGTTATCTAAAACACGAGGGGTGTATCATGGTGTTCAAAAACAAGTTTGGAGATGCTAATTTTATTGCTCGTAGGTACATCCAAAGGTTTCAGGTTGATCCGGATTGGGGTACTGAATCTATTATTCAAACTGTGGCAGAGGACTATAGTTGGACCATTTCAAGATGGAAAGCATGGAGGATCAGGCGTGTTGCTAAGAATCTAATAAGTGGCAATGCTAAGGAGCAGTACCGCAGGTTGCAAGATTATTGTGCTGAAGTGCGAAGGACAAGTCCTGGTTCTACCTGCTTTGTGGAAAACGTGTGAGAACTCTAGCAGATTCAAAAGAATGTATTGTTGTTTGGAACCGTACAAGCAAGGGGTTGCATCTTGCAGGAAGATCATTCTTCTTGATGGATGCTTTTTGAAGACAGAACATGGAGGGCAATTATTGTCTGCTGTTTGCCTAGATGGGAATGGTGGGAGTTTCCCCATAGCGTATGCCGCAGTGAGAGTTGAAAATGGAGACAACTAGACTTGGTTTTTGAACCAACTATGTCTTGATGTTAACATCTTTGAAGATCCTGGCAGCTGGACTTTTATGTCAGATAAGCAAAAGGTGAGCTTCGGTTAAAGAGTACTTTAAGTTTTATATTACTTATATTGGTTTCCATCCTGATTATGTATTTGAACTTTTACTGGCAGGGTTTGTTGAATGCATTGGAGAGTGTGGTTCCGTATGCAGAGCATCGATGCTGTGTTAGACACCTCGTTTCTAATCTGTTCAGGGCACAAGGAGGTAACAAAAAAACCAGAGACTTGTTATGGAAGATTGCTAGAGCAAGCTATGATGCAGAATTTAAAAAGTGCATGACTGAATTTAAAGATCATGATGAAAAGGCTCATAGGTGGTTGCTGGAAAAGCCATTTTCACAGTGGTGTAGGGCATATTTCCAACCATTCTGCAAATCGGATCTGTTGACAAACAATATATGCGAGAGTTGGAATAGCTCTCTCTTAGGAGCTAGAACCAAACCAATCATAAGCATGTTTGAGACCATCAGGAATATTCTTATGCGCAGATTTCATGTGAGGAGGGAGAAGGCTGAGTTAAAATTCAAAGGTAAATTCTGTCCTACCATCCAACAAAAGCTAAACATAGCTCAGAAGGCTAGCTTTAGATGTACTGCCATCCAAAGTGGCCCACAAAAATTCCAAGTTATGTGTCCAGAGGGTCAGCTTGTGGTTGATTTGAAAAAGGCCAAATGTACTTGTAGGATATGGGAATTGACAGGTTTACCTTGTCCACATGCCATTCGCTGCATATGGCAAATCTCAAAAAGGGTTGAAAATTATGTGGACAAGCATTATGAAGTTGCAAGCTACATCAAAACTTACATGGGAAATGTGGAACCAATTGTTGGGCCTGAATCATGGTTACCAAGTGGAAGAGAGCCTGTGATGCCACCATATGTACCCATGGATGAAACAAAAAAACCAGGAAGGCGACAAACCAAAAGGAGAAAGGGCATTGAGGAGACAACATGTAATGATATGCAGAAACATAAATTTAGAGCTGGAAATGAGAAGATGAGTCGGAAAGGGAAGGGTGGAACCGTTCATTGTAGTGAGTGTCATCAGCTTGGACACAATAAGTCATTTCACTCAAGAGGGAACAAGGAAGGGAGGTCAAGTGCTGCATTTGGTGGTGGGAATTTTGGTGAATCGAGTTCACAAACAGTAGCAGCAGGTCAAGCATCAAGGGATGGGGTAAGTTAAAACTGCCTTTACAATATATTAGTTGTTTGATCCCCTGCCATTTAACATGTTTGTGTATATGAGTTATAGGGAAGTGCAGCAACTAGGGGGCCAACTGGTTTTATTGTGCAATGGATGCCTGATGTAAGTTTAGAGCTGATGTTTCAATTGTTATGTTGTTTAGAGCTCTAATTGATTTTTTGTCAATAGGGAAGTAGCCGGACTCGTCCCATGAATCCCTTAAGCCAAACTTCGGTCTTACTTTCTACCCCATCACAGCAAAGTAGCCGATCTTAGGTTATATTCACTTTCATTTTTATGTTTGAGGCAAGCAGAACTGTAGTTGAAGTTTTGAGTTAAAGTTAACAAGTGTGTTTCTTATACTTTTTCTGTTGCAGGAACATCAATCACGCCATGTTGTTAAATGAGGAGGGAGGGCTGTCAGCATACATCTTTTTGTGGTTTTTAGCAGGGCATAAGAGTAGTTAAAAGACTCCTGCATCTTTCTTTGGTTTTGTCAAGAACTTGAAAGACTCTTGGATAGGGCTTTCTCTCTTTTCTGTCTTCTTTAAGGATTGGTTTTTATGAAGACAATCATGATCGTTTATGAGTGTAATTGATCTGATGTAGTATACATGATTGATCTAGAACAGAGAAGTAATTGATCATTTGCTGTAGACTGTAGTCTATTGATGTTGTTCTCTACCTTCCTGGTAGCTATTTTTTGCTGCAATTTCATTCCCCCAAACAACCGGTGGGTGGATGGGATGAGCTGACGTGAGACGCAAAGAGAGAAAGGAAATCCAACAATTCTCAAACATTAGCTCTTTAATCATACTCAATGAATCTCATTGATCAGTTACAACATAAGCTACAATAACAACAACTGTTAAGAAAGACAGCAACAACATAACCCATTCCTGCAGTTTCTGCAATAAATAACAAAGGAAGCTCCTATTACAGTGTTCATTCTTCTTCTTCTCTGACTTGTGCCTCCGTGATTGAATCTCCTCCCCGGCGAAAATCAGTGGGGGAGCAAGAAATTACACGAGCATTATGTTCAAAAGACCACTCTGTTGGGTTCAACTCTTCCTTTCTGCAGTCATCATCACTTGTATCCATCAACTATCACAACAACAACACAAAATTTCATTCAACTTGCAGGGTGGCATGTGATCTTGCATTGCACGCTATCGAACGATTAGCCATTGCAACACACAAGCACAGTTCATCCTGCATCCATATGTAGTAAGCAAACCTGCTTCCTTCTGAGGAGGCCCCATGGAAGAAGTGTGACAGGCTAACAGCTGGAGCTGCACATATGGCAGTATGGCACCAATAAACCTCTCCTCATCAGCCTGCTTGCTCGTAATTTGGCGCAGAACATCGCAATCTCTCAACCTAGCCGAATCCAATGGGAACAAGGACCTGCGTAAAAAAGAAAAAGACTACCTCAATTCCCCCTCAATCAGACCAAACACTGTTCCATCATTGAACTGGAAGTACAAAGGAGACACCTTTTTGGGAGGGACGATGGAAATTGGCGCGCCGGTCCGCCGGAGAAGGAACTATTGGTGGTTGGAGTCGTGGGTATTGGAAGGGAAGTCGTTTGGGAGATGGGTTTCGAAGAGCGGTTTCTCGGAGCCACTGATTTTCGCCGGGGAGGAGATTCAATCACGGAGGCACAAGTCAGCTAGGGTGTGGATAGGAAAGAAAAGGAGGAAGGGGTCGGTGGATTTTTTTGGAGGAAGAGGATGAGTCCATTTATTGGACTTAAATAGGGTTACGTTAAATATGAGTCAGTAGTTTGCAGCTGACATGGCGGCTGAGTTGGCGTAGTAATTTACGTTTTAGCACGCCGTTAGTCATGGAGACGGAAATGGTAACAGTGCTACCGGAATTGGATATAAGTGGTTGTGTTGCAACAAAACATACTTAAGTGGTTATCGTGCAACAAATGGTGAACTTAAGTGGCACCCTGTGCAATTAACCCAATACTCGAGATGGGCACCGTTGTAGTGTCGGAGTTGTGGCTGAGACGGATGATCATAGACCCGCGGACGCGCAGTAGGCGGAGAGCGCGACAGAGGTGTCGCCAGTGGAAGCACAGCCCACTCCGACGTTTCCACTTTTTATTATTATTTAAAACTAAAATATAGAAATTAATTTGAAATTATAATTTTTTATTTATTTGGTGCTGATGTGGCAATGAGTTGGACCATTGATCGTTAGTCAACTGTGTTAACCGTCCAAATTGACAGTCAAAACACTCATTCGGCCAATTTAGTCTATATGGTGTATAGTTGAGGCCATGATAGCAATTTCTAAAACCACGTGCCAAAGTTGATTATTTGTGTATAGTTCGGGCCAAAATAAGGTATTAACCCAAATAACAATAAATAAAATGTTGCCTAGTTGGTTATAATGCTCTTTCTTCATTGAAGTGACCAGGGCTCAAACCTCAATGACAATATTTTTATTATATAAACATTAACTAGGTGCAACGACAAAAATGACCTTCCTAGATTCACTCTCAGGCCACGAAATTTGAAATGGGAGAATTCCAACCCATATTTTGCCTTTATATATTTTGTAGATAATCCTGTTGATGGTGTAAGATAGAATCAGGGTAAATAACTCGGGTATTACTTAAGTTTGAGAATTAGCCAACACGTACCAATTTAGTTTGAATAGGGCATTGGGTACCATATAAAAGTCGCCAAAATGTGCATCTGTCTAGT